AAAAATGTCCAAACCCATAACTATACTCCTGGAGAAAACATCTATTAACCAGGTAATATGAATGATTTTAAAGTCTGAACATGCAATATAGATACAGATTTAACTATACTGTGACTTAAAAAATATCTTAAAATTATATAAAAACACTTTTCCTTAAATAGTTTTCTTTTCAATGAATGATACATGCATTCTTTATAACTACTTGCGTACATCATTCTTTATTCTTTCAAGCAGTAGACATATTTATTTGTATGAATTAAATATAATGAATCCTTATTAAAGCTATTAACGAGCAGTGAATGTTATTCTCTTTTTCTTTTGTTGCTTGATGACACAGACCGCATTAGGTCTATTACCCACGGACACTTTAAGACACCGGATCATGTCCAATGACATGCGGATCCAATTGCACTGATGCACATCCAATACACTCAAAACTGTTTAAGACATAACCAACATAGTGTACCTGAATAATCTCCAAAACTGACATTGACATAATGTTGTGTATTTGTCCATTCAGACATGAAAGAGAGCTCAGTTCAGTCCTAGCGCGCTGTGTGTCTACCGGTATGTGCATGGCTGCACGGTTCGGGTTGGGTGTGTGCGAACAGAAAATCGAAGAGAGCTCTTTTTTTGTGTTATCACTCTTATTTAGATAAATGTCTGCTCTACTAATTCTCCCAGACATTTACATTTTTTAACATTTAATGAGATGCAGCACGTCAACCCGTGTGCCACTAGGTAGATCAGCACGTTACAGTACAAATCGCGCATATACCACAAGCGTAATCGCTTCCCAAATCGTCAGTATCTAACATTTTTGTCTAGTTTTTATTCGTTGACGAAAATGTCAATAGATTTTCATCATAGCTTTTGTCATTCAGAACTAGTTTTTATTTAGTTATAGTCTCGTTTTTGATTATGGTAGGTTGTAGTTACTCACACATTGTGCTCGTAAATCATTTTTCCCGTTCACACATGTCGATTTTTAGAGGCATATGCGAGCCTCTTTAAGCTGTTTTCTTTAAAACATACTACGAGAATTGTATTACATATTGTAGCCTATCTAATTATGTGTCTTTGTCTGTCATTAATGGATTCATTGGTAACATGTGCATCATTCTAAATCATTGGTTGATGTGATTATGGGTGTGTCAACTGGTGTGGGCATTTAAGACTGGATAAGGTATTGTTCTTTTGCACACTGAAGAAGGCACGCGCCGAAACGCGTTTGTGTATAATAAAACTGTATATGCAAAGTGCGGCCTCTCTCTTCCATACAGGCATATGCGAGCAAAATGGTCACACTGTAGAGCCCTGAGAGTAACGTTAATGTTCGTTAAAAAGGTTTAAAATGCTTGAGTAGTTGTGTCGAATTGTATGCACTTGTGGGAGTTATATGGTACATTAAGTTACTCTGTCTTTTACAGACAGCAAGATGTAGGCCAGGGATGGGCAACTGGCGGCCCGCGGGCCGCATGTGGCCCGCCTCCTCACTCAGTGCGGCCCGCGGGTCAATTTTCAAATACCATAGAAATGTTGGTTTCATATGTTTTATCGCGTGAAAACGGGTTGCGCATCTGAACCAATTCCAAATGTAATGATAAAGTATACCGATAGAGGGCGCCTTCGTGCAAAACATGCTTAGTTGGACGACTCTGACCAGCGTCACTACAGTCAAAGATGAAGAGAACCATGAGCGGGAAAAAAAGAAAACTGAACCAAGAAAATCGCACTTTTCAGACGAGATGGAAAACAGACTACCTATTTACAGAATTCAAAGGGAAATGAAATATATCAAGTCGAAAGAGAGAAACAGGATCAGCGATGACGCTCTGTTTCAGCTCATGAGGATTGGCTGCACTAACATTGACATTGACATCCAGTCTATTGTACGCCAGCAAGAGAAACCACAAGTATCTCATTAACTGTAAACTTCCCTCTGTAGATGAGATAAAGCGGCAGCCTATGGTGAAAAGTATGCTTCACTTAATACTTTCTTCATCAGTAAATGTTTTTTGAGAGCCCACAATGTTTACACTGGAATAATAAAAAATAATTTTAAAAAGTTTGTTAAAAAGTTCATTAATGAATAGAATCAGAAAAAACAATTAAGTATGGAAATGCAGGTTGGTTCACTAAACATTTCAGAGTCTGTAATAAAGACATACATATGTTTTGTTCTTCTAAAATGGTAGTTTTTTTATTTTCATATATCCCATTTTTTTTTTTTTTACTTAATAGGCTACTTTTCAGTTTTGTGCAATCATTGTATGTTTTTTGAGAGCCAAACATGTTTTCACTGGAATAATATTAAAAACACAGTAATGCCACAGCAATGTGTCTTTGTTGTACTTAGCAGAGTCTGTAATAAAGACATACCTACATATGTTTTCTTCTAAAATGGTACCTCTAATTCTCCATATCCCATTGGTGGAAGTGCACGTCACATTTGGCCCTCGGATAGTGATGATAAAATATTTGTGGCCCTCACTATCATCAAAGTTGCCCATCCCTGTCCTAGATCAATAAGTACACTACCTCCCCCTAGTGTCAGGTCTTAGCCTTACATACCAAAGGACAACTAATGTAACAGGCCAAGACTGTTACAATGTTATTTTCTTTTCAAAAACGCCAGACTGCAGCTTTAAGATGACAAAAAGAAAACACTGAATCCGTTTGAAGCTTTCAAAAAACAGCATTTTTTCCCGTTAGACTAAGATTTTTCATTAAATAAAAATAGCAGCCCTACCTCAATCTACACCTTGTCTAATTTTTATTTTAAAAAAGCAACGTCGACGTGATGTAGGATTAGTCTAATTGGCAAAGTGTCTTTTACAACCTTTGAACAGATTCTCTGCGTTATCTCCTCAGATTGCCGTGCATCGCATACCACGGTGGGCAAAGTTTGTTGTCCACCACACGATCACTTTGTGCTTGTGGATGTTTGCTTCGCAAATGATACTGCATCGTACTTGTACTACTACTGTATTTTAATATCATGCAGCATATTTTACCTGTAACTTCATCGCCCTTTCTGTTGAAATGTACTTTTCGCTCGCTTCATTTAGCTTGCTCGGAAAAAAAAGTGCGTGCAGGCACATGTGGTTGCGCGTGTCGATGCACCCTGTGAGTTATTCTATATGGCCTGATTATGTTATTTTTTAAGTTACATAGCCTGCAACCAGTTTTCCTTAACTTGACTAATTAAGAGGCGATATTTGACCGGCATATCATCAAAATGTTCGTAAAACAAAAACTCACCATTTTTTTCTAGCAGAAATAGCCGTGTTGGGCAAATAATGTAATTTATAGTGTAACATCGGTACCACCGACAACCGCAACAAGCAGGTCCATAAGAAGTAACAGTGGCTGTAGGATTTTTATCTAGTTGACAAAAAATTTTGATCAAGTGAACATTAATTAAATTTTGGGCAATATTAAAGAAGGATTTGATCATATTGTAAAGTGTAACAACAATCACCAGACCGTTCGTGCCCTCTGCAGGAATTTGTTTTAATACATAGTAATGTACAAGTTGATCATGTCTAGGGTTGGGTACCGAAACTCGGTGCCAATAGGGAACCGGTTCTGCCGTAAACGGTAGTAACCAGACCGAATTAGAATGAACATTTCGGTGCCTGATTTCGATGCCTGAGTCTGTGGCATGAGGCGCACACACGCAGTCTCTCGCGGTCTCCCTCTCCGACGAGCACGCACTATATCGAAGCACTGTCTGATCTGTCTTTCACGTGCGCTCTTGCTCGCTCGCTCTAGATTCAGGGAGATTTGAACTAATTTGCGATCATCCGGGAGCAGTTATCAATATGCGGGAGACTCCCGGAACGTCTGCTGATAGCGAGGAGATTAAACACACGTGAAATGTACACGTGAAATGTTTGGCTGCATTTCACGTGTAAAATTACGCGTCAGAATAACGATTGTCTATGGATATAGAAGAATCACCATTCGCGCCGCATTGACGCTCACATCGTCATATTATATTAGCGCGTGCATCATCTGCTCCTCAGAGTTCTCTGCCGAAAAAGGAAGATTGTCGGCAGCGCGAGATATTTGGCAGCGAACACAGCGTCTCGTTCCCTATTCAGAGACAACAGAGACGTTCTCTTTCATATACTCAAAGCTGCGTATAAGACGCAGTGGGAACGAAATATCAAACTGGCTAAGAGCTTAACTAGTAAATGACAAGATAACTTAGCCTAAGTTACATGACTAGTTAAAGCAGACAAAACATGGAAACCTGTAGCCATGTCGATATTATATTACCCTGGTACAGTGGCGGTTCTACTTTGAATTACACCCAGGGCGAGACCCCCTTCGAGCGCATAAAAAACACATAATTAAAGTTGATTTTAGTTGATCATTATGAAAATTATTAGATAACATAGTGCCCAAAATTATCACATACAAAAAATCTTGT